CAAAAATACTGAAGAGATAAACATAGAATACTGAGATTTGAAGGAACAGCTTACCTCAGCCGAGTTAACCAGATTATATGGTGCCATTTCGATAGCCAGTGTGACGTGGCACACCTGAGGATTAAGAGAACAACTCTATAGCATAAAGAATTACAGAATTCACTAAATAAATACATAACCCACACCTATTCTAGTTAAATACATAAGTAATTAATGAGTAACGCTAACGTGAGCCCACCTGAGCCAAGAGCGCAAGAGCTGCGAAGGTCCACATGGTTGGCGAGTGAGTTGAGAAGGAAGTGGCGGTCGTGTATCTGGTGTGCCTTATATAGGCCAGACTCTGATGTAAGGCGATAAGGGAAGCAGACGAGGAGATTGCAGGTTTCCCACAATGTTTTATATGTGGTAGAAAAGGTTATATGTATATGTGTCTGCGTGTGTACTATTATATATGTAAATGTTTATATTCATACACACACACACACGCGCATATATACATACATATATATATATATATATATATATATATATATATATATATATATATATGTATATATATATATATGTATATATATATGTGAATATAAATATACTTTGCTTATTTTATGGGGCCGCACCCAAATATGAATACACAACAAGATGGGATACCACGGCTGATCAGCCCAATGATCATTCCGTTTCTTGATGATGAAAAAGAAATATATATACATTTATATATATACACCCACACATAGATAGACAGACAGATAGATAGATATATACATATATTATATGTACCTTTGTATTATATATGCTTGTATATATACATATGTGTGAATATACGTATATATATTATAAATACACAGACCCACACACACACACCAACACATACACATACACACACATTTATATATACATATATATATATATATATATATATATATATATATATATATATATATATATTATATATATATATATATATATATATATATATATATATATATGTATATTATATATGTATGTTATATATATTACATATATATTATATATATGTGAGTGTGTTCATATATATGTAGATGTGTTATGAATATATATATATATATATATATATATATATATATATATATATATATATATATATATATAAATTCATATGTATGTATGTATGCATTTATATAGATATATATGAATACACAGGTTCGCACATACACACACACATACATATACATATATACATATATATATCTTCAGCTTCTAATGATCTGTCCTCTGACACGTCCTTTTAGGCATCCATTATCTGCATGACCCTCTATTCACTTAACATGTCCAATCTTTTCCATGGGACTGACGGCCATTTCCTGAGAAGTCTGCCATAAATACAAGGGAAAGTTGCCTTCCCTGACAGTGTTTTTTTGAGGCACTGTGTCTGGAAGGGTTGCCAGCCAAGGCCAATGAGTCCCCTCTACCTTTATTTCAATTAATCCCATAGATGGGACCCTGACAGGTGTTCTACTCTGAGTCCAAGTGGACCTGGGAGTAAGAGTGGCTAAGAGGTGGCTCCGTACTCCTCAGGACCAGAACCCCACCACCGGATGCAGTTTGTACTCATGTCCAAGAGCAAATGTATATATATATATAGATAGATAGATAGATAGATAAAGATATTGATATATATAATTTACATAGATAGATATATACAGATATATATAATATATATAGATATATATGATATACGTATATGAATATAGATATACATATGCATATAAATATATATACATATATATATATATATATATATATATATATATATATATATATATATATATATATATGTATGTATATATATATATACATATACATATGTACATATATATATATACATATATATATATATATATATATATATATATATATATATATATATATATATATATGTATATATATATAATATAAATATATATATATATACGTATATATATATATATATATATATATATATATATATATATATATATATATATACACACACACACACCACACATACATATATACATATACATATAAATGCATATATACATATATAAATACATATACATACATATATATACTTATATGTGTGTGTGTATGCGTGTATGCATCTGTGTGTGTGTGTGTGTATGCATCAATGTCTGTATAAATGTATATGTGTATGTATATATATACACATATATATCCATACATACGTATATGTATGCATGCATATATATAAATATATATACATAAACGTATGTGTATGCATTTATACACATATATACATATATATACATACATATATATAATTTTTTCGATGTATCAATGTATATATATACATATACATATATATATATATACTAATTCATTCCACTGCAGGACATAGGCCTCTCTCAATTCAGTATTGAGAGGTTATATGGCAGTGCCACCCTTGCCTGATTGGATGCTTTCCTAATCAAGCGCGGTTCGTCGCACTAACGCCTGTGCCACGGCGGTGACTTCCCCTATG